AGGATTTAGGGGGTTATAAGAGTTTAGGGGTTGAAGGGTGTAGGGGTTTAGGGTTTTGGGATTTAGGGGTTGAAGGGTTTAGGGTTTAGAGTTTAGGGGTTTAGGGTTTAGGGTTCATCGTCTAGTGTCTAGGGGTTTAGGGTTCAGGGGTATCATCAAGCAGAAGAACCTTCTAAGGGGCCTTTTTGAAGGATACTTCGGGGGGGATATGATATAACATATATATATATGTGGATTTCTAGGCTCCAACTACTTAGCGGCTTAGTAAGTAGACGCTTGGACGCTTGAGGCCTCAACTGTCCTGTTATTGCGGAAAAGTGTAGACATGTCTGCATCGCGGTTGAAGCAAAAGGGGTTGGCAGAATAAATTTACGTCTTGCTCTATATCCCTGAAAAGGCAAAGGAGGTGCGCAGAGGAATCTCTACACTCAAAAGTGACTCAGGGAGCAACCCTGATTATGTTTGGGTACTGTTCGCAATGCTATGGCTAGTATCATGTTCTTCTTCTGACTACCATGCTGAAACCCTAGACCCTAAACCCTAACCCTACAACAAACCTGAGAGACTGTTTTCCAGAGGACCTTGGGCTGGGGATCTGGGTTTTGAATTCTGTCGAAACTACGGCGTTCAAATTTCGAAGCTCCTTGTGTCCTGTCATTTCTCCCGAGTGTGGCAACCTCTTCACTGCAGCAAAACATGTGTAGGAGGCTCCTTCCTCTTGTAATGAGCATACATATATACATACACGTATGCAGCTTCAAACTGCAGATTGTAGCTTCGAAGCCAGAGCACCGAAACACATACAGGTGCAAGTAAGCCAAATGTCTACATGTTGAGCCAAAACTCTGTTGAACAGAGTCCCTTCTTCCCAAAAAGGCCCAGGAACATCCAAAACGTCTCTTCTTCCGTCTCCTGAGACTTTGTGGGGTTCGGGGTTGTGGGGGCTTGGGGTTTTGAGTTTTCACAGCTATTTGAGGGGTTGGGGGGCACATCCAAAACGTTAAAACCCAAAGGATAGGGACTGGGTGGAAGTGGTCGGGATTCCGCAAGGCTCGAAGGTTTCAAGCTTTAAGGCTGTGGACTTACGAAGTAGAACGAGAGAGTTGAGGGCTTGGGGTTTAGGATTTAGGGTACTAACCGCACGGATCCACCATCTGTAGAGGGGTAAAATTAAGGGCTATATATAACTATAATATACTTTATACTCCAACTGTTGCTGGATGGGGGCGATACCGGGGTAGAATGATTGGAATATAGGAGCTCAGGTAGTTGTAGGGGCAGACTCGAGAATGTGCAAAGCTTTTCAGGTTAAAGCGATGAGTTTGTGGGTTTGGGGGATTTGGTTGGGGGCCTGAATTCCTAGCGCAAGCATGTAGGCGTTAGGGTTTGGGCTTTACAGTTTGAAGCTGCTCAAGAACAGAATGCCACTCACTGACAACACCATCTCACATGCTATATGCAGTCGGCTCTCGTTTCAACTTCATCTGAACGATGTAAATACCCCAAAATACTGTAGCCCTTCTCAGGGCCACTACCAAAAGCGGACCCTGTAATTTCTCAAAATGTCTCCATACATCCATCCAAATATATACACGTATATGCCGACACCTTTCTCTAGACATACATTTAAAAATATGTGTACTCTTACGCATATCATATACCTACAATCCCAAAAGGCACCCTTGAATGATTGCTGGAAACCCTACTCCCCTATAAACCACTATGTAAGTGCGGCTTCCATTTCCTTCTCCAGTTTCTTTTCAATTCGCTTCTCCATGTTTAGGGTGATATCCCTTATACCTCAACCCTGACCCCCGAAGCCTAATCCCAAAACCCTAAATCCCAAACCCTAATCCTTAACCCTAAACCCCAAACCCAAATCCCTAACCCTCATCCCCAAACCCAAATCCCTAACCCTCATCCCTAAACCCTAATCCCAAACCCTCATCCCCAAACCCTAATCCCAAACCCTATGTATCTTGGGCTTTGTCAAGACCAGCTTCCGGCGTCGGCTCCGAGAATTCGCCGCCTTGCGCCACCAGGAAAAGCAACCCCGCCACGAAGTTCATGCCCTGGCCTTGGTTTCGGGTTTAGGGTCGAGGGTTTTCGGTTCAGGGATTAAGGTTTAGGGTTTAGGTCTTTGGGTTTAGCTTAGGGTTCAGGGACTAGGGTTTAAGGTTTAGGGTTCAGGGTTTATGGTTTAAGGTGTAGGGTTCAAGGTTTAGGATTTAAGGTTCAGGGGCTTAATATTATTGGGTTTGAATATAAGCCTGGCCCTTGGCTAGTTTTATCAGGGCAGGTTTGGGGAGCCCTGTAGATAATACATAGCTCTATAGGGATTCTATGAGGACTATACGGGTAATCTATGCTTGGGTTTTCGACCCTAAACCCCAAACCCTAAATCCTAAACCCTAAACCCTAAACCCCTAAACCCTAAACCCCTAAACCCTAAACCCTAAAAAACCTAAACCCTTTAATCCTAAATCCTAAACCCCTAAAACCCTAAATCCTAGATCCTAAAGCCTGAATCCTCCTATATCTTTGGCGTGGGCCTTGACCTTGGCACACCTTAGACGCTATAGGTTGGGTACTGCCCTCACTCAGTAACAGTCGGATTATTTAGGAGGACCCCCCACCCAGTAGTAGTGACTATTGTGGATAATAAGGATTATGTTACGGTCCTCTTATATTCCTATTATACCACTATTACAGGGTGGGGGGTCCTCCGGTCCTCCTAATGGATAATATTTATAGAATACGTATATATAGCCCTTAATATGACCCCTAGTATAGACTGTTACTGGGTGGGGGCAGTACCCAAACTATAGGCTTCTGCAGCAACAGTTGTAAGACACGGTAGGGTGCTACTTTGATCAGACATTGGGTGCTCATGATGGCAGGGTTTAGGACCTTGGGCTTAGGGGCTTAAAGTTTGGCGGTCTTGGACTTGAGGTTTAGAGGTTAGGGCTTGGGGCTTAGGGTACAGGGGTGTTGAAACTGCTCTTTAAACCTCCAGGCAAAGCCGAGCGACAGTAGCCGACATCGGCACAGAGGTTGGCATAAGCCTGCGTGATGCAAATCATCTAAGCCTGTGTTCGCCCAGAACCCTGATGCTTACTCAGACTGCAACATGAACACTACCGAGCGCCCACTCTTTGCAAGAAACACCGCGCTAGGACCAAAACATGCCACCCCTCTGAACTGACCACAGAAGCGCAAGTTTGACTTGACACCCCCTGTCTGGGGGTTTCCAAAAGCAAGTGACAGTGGAGAGTCCTTGTGATAAGGATAATTAATAGTATATAGGAGTCTGCATTTGGGCAACCCTAAACTACACCCTAAACTCTAGGGCTTTAATCCCTATAAAGCCTAAGCCCCAATCCCTAAACCTACAGTCCCCCTTAAGTAGATAGAATAAGGGGTATATTGGGATCTTGTGTTAATAGACCCAAAGTCATATTTTATCTACTTAAGGGGTACCCTAAACCCTAAATAGTAGTTTCCATTTTCTTTTCCATTATCCCTATATAACCCCAATATAAGGGGGACTATCTGAATGGAAAGTGCCATGTACGCCTTGAGGATGCGCAAGAGGCACCGCTGCTGTGCTTCGTCAAAAGCCTCAGCCCCAGCCCACAACGCCACTGGGTTTAGGGTTTGGGGTTTAGGATTTGGGGTTTTAAAGTTGAAGGCTTGGGGTTTTGGATTTGGGCTTTAAATTTAGGATTTGGCGTTTAACGGTTTAAGTTTAGGATTTGGCGTTTAAGTTTAAGATTCGGGGTCTAATCCCTAAACCCTAAACCCGTAAACCCTAAACCTTGAAGTTGAAGGTTTGGGGTTAAGGGTTTTAGGGTGCCCGGAAGACCCAATCCTTGGAGGTTTCCCGAAATCAAGGGTACCTTTTTAGAGGGTTTAGGGTTTAATTAGGGTTTTAGAGTCCCTATGAGAATAGGTTTTAGGGTTTGAGTCTTTAAGGCTTAGGGCTTTGGAGTCTACATTGGGGCCATCCTATTCATGGACTGGGAGGTTCAGAGTGACTATAACTGTCTTTATTAAGAGGGGTTGATAGAGGGTTTAGGGTTTAGGGTGCACTTGGAGGTTCGCTAATTAACACGAAAACGTTACAGGGGTGTATTGTCTGGCTTATACAGGGGTAGTTATCCAGAGCTAAAGGTTTAGGATACTTATAACACAACGATATCTGTACTGTACTTCTGGGTTATAAGCACCCTGAACCTCCACGCGCCCTTACTCTAAAGAATATAGGATTGTAAGGGAAACCTTAGCCATTGAGGCGTTTTCGTGGCATAGCAATTAAACAACAGGCACAACTACAACCCCAACGAAGCAATAAACAGGACTGTCTGAATGTTGGCAGCCGGATTCTCTGGAAATGTTCGTGGCACGTCGATCTCAATCAAGTGGATCCACTCCTGATGTCTTCTAGGGCCAGCAGAAAGTGGTTAGAGCCTTCTTGAATCAAAGGCAGTTTCCCAAAATAAGGGGACCCCAATATAGACCCAAAAAAAATAGTCCTTATCATACGGGCCCCAAAAAACCCAAGCTTTGGGAAACCCCAAAAAAAATCACAAGAGCCCGGAGCTTACACCCAAGCCCATGTCAATGCACGACAACCCTTCGCGTCAAGGAGTGCCTACAGCCGAGGCTCAACCACAAAACCCCTGGCGTACGTAAGTTGCTAGCCTGCCTCTGAAAGTCCTTGCATACCCAGGGAGCCCAAGAAGTACTTAATCCATATTAGGGACCCTAGTACCACTTAGCGCATGTTCCTTAATTAAGGGTATTGGGATCTCTGAATAACCATGATAGTGTCGCAAAACAAGGGGCATTCCTAATCATGAGGGGCTTAGGGCCTGGATCCCGACTCCGAACCCCTTTAGTAATTTAGGGTTTAGGGAGCTTGTGGAAAAAAACGCCGCCGGTGCGGCAGCAGCAACGCACCGCATGCCACTGGCACTACAACTTCTACCCTGTGTACTACTATCATGTCTACTACCTGACGACCACTCCACTTCGAAGTCTCCCCCTCCTCGAAGATAGCTTGCCAAGTATAGCTTAGACTCGTTGTCCGAATTTTGCAACTCTTGATACAGGCCGGGCTTGGCGTGCCCTTCGACGTTCAATGCAACTCGCCACGCCTGTTTCTGCTTTGGGATTTCGGGCTCAAATAAACTGAATCCATAGTTTGGGGATGTTTCTGCATGTTTCTCAACGGAAGTAAATGCCAGAAATGCTTGCCTCAATGCTTCGGCGTGTTCGGTGACTTATGATTTGAGGACTCATAGGGCGCGGGCTAGCGACCACTCAATCATTGGACAGGGGGATATCGTTCTCCGCGACGCTCAGACACCACAAAAACGAAACACTCCCGTTACACCACCTCTACCGAAGCATGGCACGTTAGACGCGAATCTCTCTCATAAGTTGAAGTCTGGTCGACAGATGCCACTGACCCCAAGCCCTGAGCCCTACAAATCTAAAGCGCAGAAATCTAAGCTCTGCAGATGCCTCCGAACGGAATTCGGAGGGCACACCCTTCCTTGGCTGTTGAATGCTAATTTTGGAAAGCTTGGGCTAGCAACAGAATGGCTTCAAGTCAAGATTTTGAGCTTTGTGCTTTAGCGCTTGGTTGGTTGGGGTTCCAGATTTGGTAATTTCCCAAAATAAGGGGACCCCAATATAGACCCCAAAAGACTATAGTCCTTATTATTGGGACTCCAGAATGGTACCCCTAATCTTGGGAAACCCCCATTTTGAGGTTTCTGCATTGAGGGCTAAGGTTAGAACTTCACAGAGACATGTGCCTGCCTCGCGCCGCATGACTTGTTCAGCTCTGAAGATGCTGTTATAGTCCCCCTTAAGTAGATAGAATATGGGGTATATGCGGGATCTTATTATAATATCCCCAGGCCATGTTCTATCTACTTTAGGGGGACAATATCTAGAAATTAGCCTTAGCTTGGGCGGTGACCTGCGCACATCACTCCTTGGCCTATCTTCAGTCTGGCAGATGCCTCAAGCGCTGTTTGCACACTACTAAAATTGAACATCTTCGGGCTGTTTAACATTTATGGCAAGATCTGGGGTCCAGGTGCGGAACAAAACTGCGCCCATAAGGAAATCAAGTGCTTCCGCGGTTTTTAAACCTGCAAGGGCAGGGTTTTGCTCTGGTCAGAGTTTTTCAGGGTTGTCTGCTGGAGGGCGACTGGGGACCACAGGACCTGACGTTGATGAAAGGTGTCGGTAACAGGCTCTGACGCGTCACCCGCTTGGACTCTACCGCCCTGCTAAATCGCGGCTAACATGCACAACCCTCACCCTCAAATCCCTTCAGACCCCAACGCGCAAAACCCAGCTCGCGCAGGGTACTGCTAATCTACCTGATCAAAGCATCAAACGTAATCAGGAAGGGCCTCGAAGCCTAGCTACCCCTGTCCTTGCCCCATGCCAAGAAAATTTACGTTTTAGGTTGGCATATTCCTTCTCAAAGTAGCCGTCCTTGATGGGACCTTATCAATGGGGCTATTAAAACCCCTTATTACCCACTATGGCAACGCTTACTGCAAGGGCGAAGGACTGTTTAGGGACGAGCCTCTAGAAAGGACTGCTTTCAGACGCGAAGTGTGCGGGTATGCATGCCCCAGGACTTAGATCTCTCCCAAAGCCCCTTAGCCCCAGACCCTGAACTCCAAAACTCAAAGCCTCTGCCCTAAACCCTAAGCCAGAACTCCCTCCCTAATCCCTAACCGCTCCCCAATACTCCTCGAAGCTTCCTGGCTCTGCGGCGGAAGTCGTCTGGGCGCTGCTCTATGAAGGCCCGGATGCCCCGCTGCTGCATACCTCAGGTGGAGCCCCCGAACAAGAACAGTGACTATAAAGGACAATAGCAATAGTAACTGTATGGGGGTCCTTTTATATGCCTATTATACCACTATCACAGGGCGGAGGGTCCACCTAATGCATACATCATGTTGGGTTTCCGGGGTTTAAGGTCTAGGGTAGGCTACACAAGTGCAGGGTTCTGCCAAGAGACCAAGGTCTAGGGGTATGTACGCGAGAATTTCCGCAAGTTAGGGTTTAGGGTTGTTTCCGTAAATTTGGGATTCCCGTTAGAGGTCCCCATGATAACCAATTTTGGGGGCATCTATGTGTGGGTCCCCTTCCCAAAATCAAGGGTCCCTTTCTGGGATTCCCTATAATAAGGACTGAAGTATTTTGGGGTCTAGATTGAGATGCAATATCTATGGAACTCCCATGCATATTTGGGATATGCAGTGTCGGATCCGTTGTACAACAGCAAGGTGACACGTCTCAAGGTTTGCAGAAAAAAGGGAACCCTCAACCCTAAGCCTAAACCCGTTTGCAGCAGTTTTCTGCCTAGGTAAACCATACGGAGAACCCCAATGCAGACCCCAATGGGAATCCCCCAAAAGGGATCCTGAATTTTGGGAAGCTACCACATAGGTCACTTCAAGCAGAAATCTTCGGCTGCTGGCTGGTGAAAATACCCGAGTCATTGCAACCCCAGGTCACCCTTCTAGGTGCAAAAATCGATATGTACATATATAGAAAAAATTTTCACATGAGAAATATGTGTATACATACGAATGTATATATACAGAGAGAGGAGGAGAGAGATTAACAGCTGCCTACTCGACCACCGTTTTCCAATGATCACCACGTCGCTGGTCCACATACGCTGTCGTCGGACCTTGTCATCCGCCATCTCTGCATCGCAACTCGTCCGCGTGCTAGATGGGGAGGTGAGAGACAAGCGAGAAAGAAACTGCTTAGCTTCTGGCTAGAAGACTCGTCCACGTGTTGCAAAAGGATACAGCTGGACACGCTACACTTCTTACTGGAAGTGCGGACTCACCGTGTCTCAAACTGAGAAACACGAAACCTGCAGCCGTAAGCCACCAAACTTTTTTCTGTGCTTCAGCTTGGTGAACAAATGGGGCGGGACTACCATGGAATCCGTATAAAGCATCTTTAAACTTTCTAGCCACAGTTGAGAGGACTGTTATTCCTGTAGCGCTGCCATCTACATTGGTTTCGAAGGGTGTGCAGGCTCAGCGTCATCCCACCCAGCAATCCTAGCATTCCCATTCTGCAGGACCCCCCTCGTGTTGCAAAGCTCCTGGCAATTAACATCAGAAATCCTCAGGAAATTCGTATTATTCTGTTGATGGAGGCCTTCGATGTACCAATCGAGCATGACCAAAAGTACTTTCTACCCAACATGCACGGTCCCCCTACGCGGGCACTACCTGAACTCTATATGGGGGTCTCCCGTATTCATATTCAACCCAACATATAAAAACCTCCTCTTTGCTACCCGCCTGACACTGTTCTCAAAAATGGGCACTTGGGGCCCGTAAACTCTGACATCCCCCAGGCAGTCCCTCGAAGGAATCTCAAAGAGCTCGGTTGATTGGCCCTTTTTTGCCTGCTTGTGCTTTTGGAGGCTACAGGGCTGCTGAAAAGAACTTTTGTGTATATATTAAATCTCAACCCTAAACCCAAAAAAGTAGTTTCCATGTCCTTTTCCATTCCCCCTCTACAACCCCAATATACTATATAGTAGTTTCCATCGTCTTCTCCATTATCCCCATACAGACCCTATAAACCGTATAATCCCAGTTTCCATTTGATTTTCCATTTTCTTTTCCATTTGATTCTCCATTATTGGTGTATATAGGATACTGAACTCTAAACCCTAAACCCTGAACCCTAAACCCTAAACCCTAAACCGTGTAGTAGTAAAGAAAAACCAAACACACACATTTTCTGAGCACACGCCCACAGTCAGGCTCCGAACTCCGGCTCGGCATTCCCGAGGAAAATTTAAATGGTCGAGATTATTTGAGGCTGACACCGGATCATGATGACCACCCGGGTTTAGGGTGTAACCTTTCAAAAGCTCGCTCGGTTTTGGCTCTGCGCTTCTTGGGCTTGCAAAAATGACCCGGATTCAAGCTCAAGAAATCAAAACTGAGACTCAGAAGGCGGTTCCCGCCAAACCTTTGTGATCGCCATAGGATTCCATGCGGGCCTCCCAGAAGCAACTGGGGAATGGTTTAGGGTTTAGAGTTTAGCTTGAGTACTGCCCCCACCCAGCAACAGTCTATACTAGGGGTCCGATTATGGGCTATATATAACCATATTACAATTATTATCCAACTGTTACTGAGGGGGGCAGTACCCAAAGTTTAGCGTGCACGGTTCAAGTGGAATTTAACCTGAGTAGGTTCGGACATGGCTTACGCGTAGGTTCATGAGAGTCACCGTGCAGATACTGTGGGGTCCGAGTCTTATCACGTAAAGCCAGAAAGTTCCAAGAAGATTCCAGCTTGCGGCGATCCCACGCAACAATCAATCAGCAACCATATGCACCGCAACAATTGCAGCATAAGACTCCCACCTCTTCCCCCCCCTCCCTCTCTGCCTTCTTGGCCGCTGGCATGTTGCCGCCTTCCCGATCCTCAGGAAAGATAGTGTCCTATACGGATATCAAGGTCCCTTTAAGGGAGATGGTGGTTTTATATAGGGTAATAGAGGAGGAGGATTTAAGGTCTAGGGTGAAGGGCTCAAAGTTTAGAACTTCGTGTTCAGGGCTTGGGCTTGGGGCTAAGGGTTTAACCATCATACCCGTAATAATGGAGAACCAAATGCAAAACCACATCCTCTGCGAAACCGACATGATGGTCATACGGGAATCCCCTTTTGTTGGCGTCACAAGCCGCCAACACTTTAATAATCATCCTTCAGAAACTGACACAATTTTACGGGCATCATATGAGCTATAGTCTGAACTCCGAGTATCGCCCTAAATAACCCTTATACTAATCCCCAAGATGCCCATATCATAGAGGAACCCACATGGTCTGACAGGGGCGGAGGGTTTCATGAACTACTAGGGGACGGTGATTACTTACGCGCTGAGTGCCATGCACAAAGCCCAAGAATCCACAAACCGCACAGGTCGCTGAGCAATCTCTACGCCGGTCCGGTGAGATGCTACGCGGCGCCCTAAACCCTAAACCTTTATCCTTTTTGTGGACTACCCCCTACTTACAACCTTGGCATCCCAATCAACCCTGAAGCCCTCAAACCCCTATAGTCCCCCTTAAGTAGACACAATATGGCTTTGGGTATATTATAATAAGCTCCCCATATATCTCATATTCTATCTACTAAAGGGGGACTGTAGCCTTAATGCATAATCCCCAAACTTTCTACACCCTTTTTAGGGGGTTTAGGGCCCTAAAGCCCCTGAATCTGCCCGAGAGACTTCCCCAAAATGCACAGCAGCTATCTATTGGGGGCTACTATCTTGCAAAAAAAGGTTGCGACCGAAAACCGTTTAAGACTATCCTAAAACCCTGCAATGTGCACCGCAAATTCCACCAGGGATCCGCGAAGCGAGTTGCAAGGCCGTCGCAGTTGATTCCAGTCATCGCCTGCCAGCTTTAAGGCATTGGATCTTGGGTCCAATGTTGCTGGCCTAAAGTTTCATGGTCAGCCGGTTACAGGTCTCTGCTTGGGACCCTGTAGACACGCATGATTCTTCTCAAGCGCTGCACGGGAAGTGTCGGTGTTTTTTTCGTCCTAGGGACATTTTGCAAAAACAGGAACACATGCTCACCCTCCAGACCTACATACTTACATACCTACGTATCTACCTACCTACTTAGATTACGGCATGCATACATACAAACAGAAATACATACATGCACACATACATACAAATCTACTTACCCACTTACATACCTACCTACGTACGTATACATGCGCATGCACATTCAATCATACTTAAACCCCCGTATTTGTGTCTGGTCGACAGTTATAAGCATATGCTGACGAAGCCATGCAAGGCTCAGAATTGGCTGCAGAATTGGCCTCGCCAATGTCCTCAGAGACCTCCGCAATGACCTGCAGGGAAGGTCGGATTAGGGGTATACAGGAATCACAGGGATGTTCAGGGCTTACAAGCATATGGGTACCACAGGGACATTCTGCAGGGCGTAACTTCCCTCAAGCTATCATAGAATCCCAGGTAGCTTGCTATTGCATGCAAGTTTGTGGAAGAGTATCCTATCTGAAGGAGCCATCGGAGCGCTATGGGTTCAGGACGCGGTTTAGGGCTTAGGGTTTAGGGTTCAGGTTGAGGGTTTGAGGTGTACGGTTGGAAGCCTTTGTCTGCACTGAGTAGGAATTAAATTTGGATGCAGGTAATCTTGCACCACCTAACACAATTTTTAAAGTATTGTGGGGATCCTACGTGGTGCAGGATTTCCTCCATCCACTGTATCCACGAAGTAAGAGGATTTGGGGTACATCATGCCCCTAGTCGAGCCGCCAGTGAGATGAAGCTCGTCCGCCTATACGGATTAGGGTTTAGGGTTTAGGGTTTAGGGTTTGGGAAACTACTTTCCGGTGGCTTTTTACGGGTCATATAGGGATTCAGGGAAAAAACATGGAAAAATGTTGTCTTCAAATCTACCCCTGTGCAGTCCCCCTGTATTAGCTCTGGAGGCCCTATACAATAATGTGCTCAAAAATGTCTATGGCTTCACAGAGATTATTATCTAACGTTAAGGTTAGTAAGACTTGAGAATTGTATTCAAATCTACCCCTCCGCAGTCCGTCCGTCTGACTAACTTCAAACACTCAGCACACAACTACCGACATAGAACAAGCACAATGAGGTGGAGACCCAGAAGAACTCGGGACAGGCGTCAAGATCTCTTTGGAACTCAGAAAGAAGCGCCCTGTTCCAAATGTCATGAACTTGATAAAAATACGATGTGTCTTGGGCATGCCTATCACACAACCCAGACCCATGATAAATATACCCCCTCTCCTCAAGAGGGGTGATGAGAGGGATGCTAATATGAAGGCCCTTAAAAGGGGTTATAATAGGCATACCAATATGAAGGCCCTTAAAATGAGGGGGTTTATTAATAACGCTAAGTTGTTTCCATGTTCTTTTCCATTATCCCTATATAATCCCTATATTCCCCCTATATTACTACACCCCCATATACCCCTACACTAACACACCCTAAACCCTAAATAGCCCTAAATAATATTTTCTATTTCTTTTCCATTATCCCCAATATAACCCCAATATACCCCTAATATTACCCTCAATGGGTCTCCATTAACACAGATGAAAAGCGCCCACCTGAGGGTCGTTGAAGTGGGTCACTGCCTTCACGATCGCGCGGGCGCGCTTGGCAGGATCCTCTTTAGGATGTAGGGTTTAGGGTTTAGGGCTTCCCTGAAGGGCCCCTGCACTTTATTGGGCTTATGTTGGGGTTATATTTGGGTTACATAGGTTATATTGGGGTTATGTTAGCGTTATACTATGGTTATATACGGATAATGCAAAAGAAAACGGAAACTACTATATTATAATAGGGTATACATTAGGGTTACAGTCCCCCATGACTGGATAGGATATGGGGTATATGGGATCTAAAATATTGGATCATATCCCCAAAGCCATATTCCATCTGTAAGGGGGACTGTAAGCGCCCCATCCGGAACTCTGAAAACATGTACTTCGCAACCCCTAAATCAGTTCACAGCTGAACCCCTAAGCCCTAAACCCTAAACCCTAAATTCAAAAACCCTACACCCTAAATTCTAAATCCTGAACCCTAAATTTTGCAATCCTGAACCCTTAATTCTAAACCCTGAACCCCAAATT